TATTCACTACCATACCATCAAAATGGAACCTTTTACTGGAAAACCCATTTGCCACTTTGGCTCTATTTTTCAAGATTCTAATAGATTTTGAAGCCCAAAACGACAATGTAGAAATTGTGTCCGAATTTCTTGAACCCGTAGTCTGCTTCAGAAGTGAAAAAGGCTTGAGCTTTGGCCGGTGCTGTACAGTGGCCTCTCTTTCTTCTTGGTTTGAAAGAGTTCTATCCATAAGGAATTACCTTCAATTTCTACCTCAACCATGTCTGGTTCTAAAAGCAAAAACAAAAGGCAAGAAATGTGGTTTGGACTTGTGGAAATGGCAATAATTATTCAAGACTAGTTGCTCAAGCACTGAAGAAAGACGAATGATGGGAGTGTGGTAAATGCAATAAAGAGGTTTGTACCACAATGATATGTAGACAAAGAAAGGGGGTGAGGCTCCTCCCTGCTGGGCTTTGCTTAAACCAGGCGCTTTCACTATGTTTGGCTTTGCTTAAACAAGGGCTCTCGCATAATTATTACACGCTAAAGGATTGATTAAAATAAGAAGATAGTAGTTATTGCAAAAGCTTTATAATGAGTTGTTTTCTTGAGTGTTGAGAGGACAGGTCAATGGAGCCTTCTAAGGGATGAATTTACTTGTTTGATATATTTATTTATATATATGTTTTTTTTATTTTGATGATTACTGGTAGTCTTGATATAAAAGTTAGAAATGTTAGGTTTATTAATTTGTCACGTGGGCCTATATACGTAATCAATTGTGTATGAAACTATCTTAAAATTGAATCCAATTAAAGTGATTTAATAAAGAATTAAATTGTTGGGTTTATGGTATCTAAATAAAGTGTGAGTCGGATTATATGAGTAGAAACTTGATTCATTAGGGTTGTGTTTGACGATGAGCCAAATATATATAAAAATTATAAAGAGAGTTATGGTTCTAAATTCATATATGATTCTTATCTCATCAATACAAGAATACAAGATAAAGTATACTGAAGAGGAAGATCCAAAACTCACAATCAAGAAGAATTATTGTAGGCAAGCAATTAAATTGAAAAATAAAACAATCAAGATCATGAAACAAGAAGCAAAAAATCAAGATCAAGAATTAAAAGAGCCAATAATCAAAATTCAAAATCTGGAATCAAGATCCAGTAATAAGAATTTATTCCCAAAAAATTAAGATACGTTTCACATTTTTAATTTTCTCGATGATTTGATATGGATGATCTTGACAATTAAGCAATTAGATTTTCTAGTTTTATAAGATTTAAAGTTTCTTAAAGTATAGAAAGTATCAATAAGAAATGGATTTTAGCATAAGCAAAACTTGTTTTGTGCAAAATTTATACAAGGGCAATATTTTAGGAAGCAATGCCAATCGTAAAAGTTCATATAGTCGATCTTAATTTTACTAAAGTGAAATCTTTGTCAAATGATTTATACCAAGAAAGGAAATTAACTTTAGCAGCCTATTTTTTGTTGATGAGCCGAAACAGAAAATGTAATATGAGGCAAAGATATTGTGCAGAGAATATTTGCGAGTGACAATTTATGTCCATCGGCTCCTTAGCAGCCAATGCCATAGTTGAATGACAATGAGGACAACCCAAGGGATATAACTCAACAGAAAATATTTAAAAAAAGAACACTCTAAAAATTTATTTTTGAACAGTAGTTATATAATAATGTGGACATATGAGACATTATTCATATTTACACAAACATGTAATCAATTTTTTATGACTTATAACCACTTTTCACGTTTTTAACCTTCTATAAAGAGGAGGAAGGACACAAGTGAGAGGTTGCGAGGGTCAGACGAGGTGTGGGTACTTTGGTGTTTTATTTCGAAGTTTAGATATAATATGTGTCGAGTGTCGTAAATTAAGCTCATGTTTGAACTACATTAAAATTATCATTTTCATTCATTCACTCATTTTCAATAACATATTTTTGAATAAAATAATATTTTTCATCACATCAATAATTTTTCCTTCTTTTTCAACCACACATTCTCTATCAATTAACTATTCCAAAATACATTTTTCCAAAATAATGTGGCTTAAACACATCATAACTACAGATGTGATAATTCAGAGAACGTAGTGTATGGCTGTGATGCTAGTCCAGCTCACATAAGACAATGATGATATGGCCCGCGGTCCAATCCTAATACCCTTAATCAACTGAAGTAAGCCCAGTGAAACCAAAGCCCAATACTCGGTCCAAGTAAGGAGAAAACGTGTTTGGCTGGTGCGGTTTTTAGTTGTTCCTTATTTGTTGAAAGTGTAGTTTTCTTTGAGTCGTTGGATGGGCTGCTACCAATCTCGATGCCTTAATATTTTGGAAGTGAATGGTTTTTTGATTAATCCATTCTTTTCTTTTTCTGTTTTCTCGAGGGTTTTTGGAGACTTTTGTGTTCTCTCATCTTTCGCCTTCTTCTTTTATGAGGATATCTTGAATCTGTTTCTTGAGTGTGATTTCTGTGAGAAATCAGGAAATAAAAAGGTGTATTGTTGGTAGCGTTAAGTTCTTCTGGCACATAGAAGAAACTTCACGTTTTACTGTGGATCGTGAGGGATCTTGGGTGGATCTAGGCTTCACGATGTTGAATCATATGGGTACTTTGTTCTGAGCCATCATTCTGTGATATCTTGATGTTCGGTGGTCTATTAGAAGATAAACATTTGTAATAGAGATTTCGAGTTTTAGATCTGTAATTCTTTTGTTCATAAGTTTGTATAACACATAGGATTTTATAAATTGTATTCATCTTTACTTTAATCTCTCACGTTATATAAGCAATAGTTGCATATTGAAGTAAATAAAATAAAATTAATTGTTGCAAGTAAGGGAAAAAGAAAAAAGAAAAGAAAAAGAAAAAAAGTAACTTAACCACCCACCAAACCTCGAGTTTGGGGCCTTCCCCTCGAAGTTTTCCCTATTCTACCAAAAAATTGTAAAAAGTGATAAATACAAGTGGACCATGAATGATTTTGAAAGAAACATGATGACAGGCTTAAAATTATTATCGAAGTGACTTTTAGTTGGACCACTTTGTTGGTTAAGATTTCATGATAATCAAATTAGATTTCTTTCATTTAATTCCAACAGCAAATTCCTATTTGCTAACTTTCCTTTTAAGGTTTTTATCTAGTCCTTACCAATTACTCATCTTTGTCATAATGCCGGTTGTTCCACCTCAACAAATACAATATTGACAATTATCTACCAACAACTTGTACAGAATTCCCATATTTGAGCCTGAAATTCATTTTTCATTTTCGACCATACATTTCATTGGACTCGTAAAATTTATCAACTTTTCAACAGTACATTTTTGAACTTTTATCAAAATCTATTAAAATTTTGATTATTGGCTAAACCGATCAGAAGCATTATATCGTTCAATTACTGATCAATTTGTAACAAGTTTCTTGAATTGTTTCCCTTCCTTTTTTTTTTTTTTTCTGGTGGGTTCCTTTTAACCCAATGAAGCTTGATGTCGATTGTTGATTTTGTTGAACGTGAACAAAGAATATTAGCGATCAAACGTAGAGTAAATTTCAATTTCTATTACTCTACTCAATAAGAGATTAGGTGTTTAACCAACAATTTCAGGTGTAGATTGAATTTGATTTTCTATCAAAGACTTGACATGTACAGAATTTCACATGTATACAACGATATTTGAACTTAAAACTTTTTATATGCTCTAACGGCAAGAGAAATTTATTTTTAGTTTTATGTTTCATGTATTTGAATAGAAACATGACAGAGGGAAGGAGGAACTTGGTTTCAAAAATCAAAACCGTTGCTAAAAGCGATGACACTTTTATTTGGAGGGATGTATATACGAATTTCTTGGACAAATTTAAGAGTATATTTCAAAGAGACAAACAAGGAACCTTTATTGGGCATCCCATGGTGGCTTCCCGATGCAGTTTCAAATATTTGGGCTAAGCTTAAATGATTTATTTCTAATTAATTTTAAATAAGTTACTTATTATTATAATAGTGAGGAAATAAAAATTTATTAGAAGTAATTTAAACTTAGCCAAACATGTTTTTATAGAGGTAACAGAGTCGAAGAGGTGTTTTAAGATATTTGTTCCTTGAGTAATGCTATTCATCCCCACTGACACATAGACTGTGTTTTCATCCCCAGTAGTGTTTTCATCCCCATTGGAGATGAATAACATTACTCTTGTTCCTTTGTACCATAAACAACTTTCTCAAATCGTGTACAAATATTTACATAATACTTTTGACCTTATGCCTCGAAGTAGTTAAGGTTGCGACTTGCGACCCTTATAGCATAATTTGTAGTTCGTGTAATTTTTATAAATTAACTACTTTAAGAAAATTTGAATATCGTGAAGAGCGTTTTGAACAAATAAAACAAATAGAAAGAGAAAACCAACTCTCTATTTATGGGAGAATTGGAAACTCAATTATTTTAAGATTTTTTTTTTCTCTTCCGTTGACTATTGTCCTATGCAATGACAGCAAGCCCATAGATTGTTTATCCATCGAGAATACAAAACGTTCAAAAGTATTCTTTATTTTTTGAATGTTTGATTGGTAACTTTAATTTTTAAAATTGTTTTTAACTTATTAGTCGATCATATGATTTATTGTAATACTTCTCGATTTCATCTAACATGTTCGAAATAAGCAACTCTTTTGAAGAACATGATTTTTTTTTTTCCTCTCGTAAATTCACAATTGTCTTTATTTAGTCATTTGTGATATTGTTAAAATGATTTTCTATTTATTTCAATTTAGGTAAACTTAACATGTATCAACTTACGATTTACTTTGCTTAGAACTTTATCGACTATGATTGTTAGTGCGTGTAACATGTACCTAATAACCACATTTTATTAACCATAAAGTGTGTCTTCTAAACCCTTAGACTAAGCATGGCTAAAGCTTAAGATAAGAAATCAGGAAAATATTGATTCAGAATTAACAATTAATTTAATGACGCTTTTTATGAAACCCACAAATTTTATCAATTAAATTCCTTAGCCCTTGTTTGATAGAGATTAAAATTTAGATTTCAATCTAAGTTAAAGTCAACAAATAATTTAACCACATATTTCATAGAATTCACAATTTTTCAACCATACATTTCATTAACTTTTATCAAAATCAGATTTTGACCCCGTGGCCGTGCCAAACATGAGCTTAATATAAAATAGTGCTATGACATTTATGTAATATAAACATTTTGACATACTAAAAAGGCCGGCCTAGTCAACAATTAGGCCTCTCCTTTTCAGTTTTGAAGTGGGTTTCGCTCAATTATATCTCAATCCGCACGTAAAATTATGTAAATGATAATTATATTCACATCACAATTTTCGTTAACTTGTGATGAATGTTCTTAACCTTTTCTCATTTTCGTGTATTTGCCTCCAACCTTTTTCATCAACGTTCTAGTGATTTGTACGCCATTTAAGTAATATATGCATTTTGACATACTAAAAGGCCGGCCTAGTCAGCTATATGGGCTTCTAGTAGTGAGCTTTGGATTGGATCTATATTTCAACAATTAGGCCTCTCCTTTTTAGTTTTGAAGCGGGTTTCGCTTGATTATATCTCAATCCGTTCGTAAAATTATGTAAATGGTAATTATATTCACGTCACAATTTTCTTTAAACTTGTGATGAACGTTCTTAACCTTTTCTCATTTTTGTGTATATGTCTCCAACTTTTTTCATCAACCTTCTAGTGATTTGTACGCCATTTAAGTAATATATGCATTTTGACATACTAAAAGGCCGGCCTTGTCAGCTATATGGGCTTCTGATTGTGAGCTTTGGATTGGATCTATATTTCAACAATTAGGCCTCTCCTCTTCAGTTTTGAAGTGGGTTTCGCTCGATTATATTTAAATACGTTCGTAAAATTATGTAAATGGTAATTATATTCACATCACAATTTTCGTTAACTTGTGATGAATGTTCTTAACCTTTTCTCACTTTCGTGTATATGTCTCCAACTTTTTTCATCAACCTTCTATTGATTTGTACACCACATAGACTAATTTGTATTTTATATTTTTAAATAATTGAAATAAACACTAATACAAAAATTTGAAAAAATATTTACCTCTCATTTCAATGCACACTATTAGAGCATTTGGATATAAATCGTCATTAGAGACAAAATGTATTAATTAAAATTTTTATTTAACGGTGTAAGGGAAATTCTTGGATAAAGGACGATTGCTCTAGTTAATTCTGCTATTTAACGGTAATGTAGTTAGTCAATCAATCAGCGATAACAAAGGTTTTGTTGAACATTCTTACCCCATAATGGTCGGAGTAAAATTAATGTCGGGGCCACCAATTTATAAGCACATCTTAATTAAGAACATTTTTAATAAATACACCACAACAATTTTAAAAATATTTTCCGAAGCCAATTATAAAAAAATAGAAAACACTTAGAAAGAAGAAAAATAAAACAATCTAGATGCTACACCACTCCCCCTCGAAACATCGCCTATGTTTGATGGAGATTAAAATTTAATAAAGTTTCAAGCCAAAATCAATAATTAATTTTAATTACACATATTTTATCCACACATTTCATAATTTTTTATCAAAATTTATTAAAAATCTGATTTTAATCTCCACCAAATATGACCATAATTTCGTTTTCTCTTATTACATTTTTATTCATTGATGCTTTTGCAAAAAGGTATTTTAACATTTGTGGTATCCATAAGAATGAAATAGAGAAATAAATGAGTTTAGTAATTATTTATGACATTTTACTTATAACCATATTATTAACAAAAATAAAAAAATTAAAGCATGGTGCAAAAAATATAAATCACCCAAAAACAATATATTCAGAAATACATCTCTGAATAAATAACCAAAACATGTAACCAGAAACAATTCATATCTCATCCATAAATCACAACCTCCAATTTATTTCTCATTTGATTTCCTAACACAATAGGAAAAGAAACCAGAACTCAAAATTACAAAAAGAAATCTCTATTTATTTATTAAAGAGGCTGGCTTTTTTAAACATAAATAAATATTATTCATTATTCAGTGCTTGTGAAAATCTGGATCCTTGACTATGGTAACAGGGCAAGCTGCATTTGAAATCACATAGTTGGTTACACTCCCCAAGATTATCCTGTACAGTAACATCACACCAAAAGTTAGTGTGAACAATCAAGGGACTTCTCTGTTATCTTGATTTGAATTGATTACCTTTGGAGGGTGCTAAGGCCTCTGCTGCCCATCACCAAAGAATCCAACTTCAAATCTTCAATGGCGTCGCAGAGCTTCTCTCTGGCGTCTCCCCAGTAAAGCTTGGTCACGATATTTATCTATTAATCAATCAATTTCTCATTCATTATTGCCAACCAATTCGTTTGGATCTTGATTTGAATTCGGAAAGCTCCAAAGAAATAAGTTACCTCCTTTTGTCTAGCAGCAGTGTCGAGCGTATCCAGAACTTCAATATCAGTCTGGATATCATACTTCTTCATGATTTCGGGCACACGAAACTCCACTAAGGGAATAAGAGCTGTAAATAAAACCACAAAAACAAAAGCAAAATCCCAGATGAATAGATTAGTTTGATCAGAAAATATCCCAGAAATTAAATTAATAGAAAAAGAGTAACATACGTGAACCAGATTCGGACCATAATTGATTGCGGGATACATGGGATTTGATGTGAATGATGTAAAAGGTGTCGCCTTTATCAGCCAGATTGTCAATAGCCCATTGCAATGCCATTTTACTGCTCTTTGAGAAGTCCATCGCAACCCCGATTTTCCTGTCTTTGCACATTTTTGTTTCGTATAATTTCTGGAGTTTGTTCTTCAGAAGAGATATATATGTTATTGCGTGTGGGAATTGAAAGCGAAAAAGATCAGATGCTTGCACGGGAAGTTGGCATCTCTCTCACTTTGTAGCGTAGAATTTAGGCATTGGCGTGTGCATTTGATGATTATGCCCTTTAATCGTTGGGATGGCATATTTATGTTTAACGTATGTTTGGCTCCATTAAAATTATGAGTCACATATCTTTCGATAAAATAATATTACACGTAATCTCAAAATCTTTCTTTTAACACTATTAGAACCATTAAAATTTCAAATAATTGGAGCCAAACGGGGGCTTATTTAGTTCTGTTAAAATTTAGCTTTTGAAGAAATAATCGGTATTTGTGAATCTTATAAAATATATATTTAAAATTTATGTTTAATTTTATCTCAAAGAACTTGCAAAATTAAGCTCATATTTGGTGTAGCTAAAAATTAAAATTTTAGTATATTTTGATTAAAGATAATGAAATGTGCGATTGAAAAAATTGATAAAATTTGTAAATCTCATAAAATTTATAGTTAAAATTAATTTTTTAAGTTACACCAAACACGGGCTACCACGATCAATCTCCTGGGCTGGTAATTAATTAATGAAATTGGGCCATGGGCCATTTATCAATCATCATTCCCATGGGCCATGCGTCGAACAAAGTGCAAGATGGTGCCAGACTTATTTATGGAAAATTATGGCCCGCTTGATGCATGCGTGGGTTGCGAATTATGCATTAAAAGCTGTACGTTACCTTAACAATAAGTTGCAGAAAGAATCAAGAAACATTTTAATTATTTATTTGTCTGGTGTGTAAACAGAGCACGTTCATGTGATAGACTAAACGAATCGAGAAACTCTTTCCTTATCCATATCACATTTATTAAGGGAAAATTGCAGCCACGGTCCCAAACATTTTCGTTTTTTACATACTTTTCCTAAACATTCACTTTATACCACCACAGATCCTAAATCTTTCAAAAATATGCAGTAGATGACAGTTAGTTGACCAAAAAGTCAAATTTTTATTTATTTTGACCAAATTAAAAAGGGAAAAAATAATACTTTTGCTATTTTCCATATTAATTAAGTTTAAAAAACCCAAAAAATATAAATATAAACCCACCCCACCCCACCCCACCCCACCCCAAATGAAAACAGTATAACCACCCTTCTTCTCCGGCCTGACCTTAACGAAAATTTGGCACTAACGCCACCTCAACTCCCACTCATTCCCCAAAAAAAAGAACTGCCCATCAACAATGGACCAACAATGGTGGACTATGAATGGGGAAATCCGTCAACGATCATGCTCTCGGGTGAAGAAATAGCCCAAGATTCTAACCAAAATCGATAGATTTTTTATCTATATGCCACTCATAACTTCATGAAAGCCAACACTTTTGTTAACCCTAATGATTTCGCCACCATCACTTTTCACAACCGCCACCATTACCATCACCACCACCCGTTTCACCATCCAAAGACTAACACACATTTGACTAATTTCTATGACCTACGCTTTTATAGCGCTTCTGGGAGGACTTAGTTTTCTTCCTTAGAGGACGATTTTGTGAGCTGGTTTTACCGCCTGTCCAGGGTAATGCAGCACGACTCAGCGAACTCCCCAAGATGCCAAGTTGAAGGCTACCAAACGGACTGACCTACGCCAAACACTACCACAGCCACAAGGTGTGTGAGTTCCACTCCAAGGCCGCCACTGTCATCAACGTCCAGTTGACTCAGCAATTCTGTCAACAATACAGCAGGTTATGCATTCATCACCATATTTTCTTTTCTTTTAATTGTAACCTAGTTTTTTTTTAACTTATTTAATATGGAAAATAGCAAAAGTACTATTTTACCCTTTTTAATTTGGTTAAAATAAATCAAAATTTGATTTTTTTTATTTTTATTATTTTTATTATTTTTTTGTCAATTAACGGTCAAATGAGTGTTTTCCATCCATTTGGATCTCTACCGCATATTTTTGAAAGGTTTGACACTTGTGATGGCACAAAGTGAAGGTTGAGATAAAGTCTGCAAAAACTGAAAAGATTTGGGACCGCTGCTGCAATTTTCCCTTTTATTAATAATTAATTGTTAAACCTGCATAACGAACCCCACAAGACAAAACCAATTTGTTTTGGTTTGGTCCAGCTCGGTTATGTTTCATATTTTAAGCGTGTTCAAAATTTCGTATTATTTTTAAAATTAAAAGATAATTTAAAATTTTGAATCAGATTAAAACTTGGTTTTGTAACTAGTTCTCGATTCATATACAGTAACGTGAATTTATTAGAGCAAACTAAGCAATCGATATTTCATTCCGGAGGCCACTAAGCCAACTCTTAAGCTATAGTAGGTATGTCTAGCCAACCACATGCTAATCGACTGATTATTACAATTTGACAACATGACAATTGATAGTAACGTGATACTTGATAAAAATACGATATAAGCGATGTGACATTTCAACTATACACGTCATTTTTTTTCTCTCTATGTACCCAGGACCATCCCACTCTCGTGATATTAGTAGATAACACGTACTTTCTATTGTTGGAAAAATCCAACAAAATTCTGAAGTAAAAAATATATATATTTTTTCTCGAAAAGAAGAAAATAAATAACGGGGTCTTTTTGACTATAATTAATGTTCTCTTGTGAACTTCTCAATAGGGCTCTCAATGGATTGTATTTTGATCCGAATTCGA